ATCTATCCACAGTTAAACAAGAGGATCGCCCTACCTTCGAGTGCCAATAAGTAACACTTGGATTCAAAGGCAAATATCCACCTCCATTGAGATCCATCTGTACTTTGCCTCTGTTAGGTCAGTATGATTGTACGGCAGGGGTAATTGTTTAGCGGAAGCGCAGAAATGATGGCCGAATCACGTACAGCAGTACTGACTCGAATGAAGATTAAATGGCAGGACCATGTAAGGAATGGCTCCATCCAGATAACCTCAGTAGATGAAGAGACTAAGAAAAGGAGGTTGGCCCTGTTAGAAAAATTGGATGAGCGTAAGCAATTATACTCGAGCCTCTCGTGTGGTTGCCGAAACATGACAGATGTCGACCTGGAGGTAAGTACGCAACATGGAGGAACAAGATGGAGACAGATCTGCTTTTGAGGAGGAATGTGTCCTTCTATGATGAAGTAACCGATGTCTTATAGCAAAAGTGTTGAAACGTTGCAAATACAGCGGACATCACAAACCAGAGACACTCTGCTTAGCAAACGTCTAAAGGTGATGACTTCAACAAACAGCAAACAACTCTAGGTTCTTCTGATGCGGCTGTTCAGCGACTGGTCATCGGCACCAATTCACCGGTGATCTGTGCTTGTGCTCATAGTTTGCCCCATTTCATGCCGTTTCATAAAGCTTCTCGAATTGAAGCTGATGCCGGTTGCGCCAATCAATCTTGAAACCTTACCGTGAATTTGAAATGAATTTTATCTGTCATGATTCTTACTCATTTTGTAGATGATGAAAATCATCTATATATTTTCAGAAAAGCCGACTCAACTGCCTTCCTGAAAAAGTGGAATTTGAGTGCTCTTCTCGAATGCGTATTTTAAGTGCATTTGTCATTTTTTATGGCAGCTTCCCACTCGCCAGTTGACATTTTCATCAAGACGCTTTCGCTGCTGCACAAAGGACGCAACAAACTGGAAAGAATTTTAAGCGAAGGTCAAGGACTCGTCGGAAAACTTGATTAATGTCTTTGACCTCAACGGCCTCAAGTGAATCAGAAGGCTGTGGTTAGAAGAACGGAAACGACTGTTTCACCACTTACAGTTTTAGACGAAAACGCGAAAGAAATAATTTAGAAATTCTGATTCCTTCTCAGTGCCGCCAGCCTGCATGCGGCGATTGCAGAGAATTTCAACGCTCCAGGAATGAATTAATCTGTTATATGCACCTTATCAACTGCTACTGACGTGATTTGCTGTCAACAAATAAAAATTTCGATTTGCATCGGAAACAATCATGAGTCAAATGCAGTAGCCTTGCTGCAACCTGACCAATTTCATGCTAGTGATGCAGTAAATAAATTTGTTCAGCATAAAATTCAATTTAACTGCTACAAAATGAAAAAATTTAATAACTACTGCCTGTTAGTTAACGTACAATAGGTCACTTGCCAAAATATGATGGTAGAATAATGACACGGCGATTACAAAGCAACAAACTTAATGGCTGCCCATCTACAACGTGTCGGTTTGCCCTTTCTTGCTCTGGAGGGGACGGTAACACAGTGGTGAGGGATTGGCTTCGAGCTCCGACGGTGCCGAGTTCAAATCTCGAAACAGTTTGCCATCTCTAATTTTCATAGATAGGGAATTCACCCTTGTGCAACCAACCGGGAAACAGGTTGCAAATTGTTGAACAGCGGACAACAGCCAAAGCATGGTGTTTCTGAGGTAATCATACCACAGTATGCCAGGGCTAAGGCCAAGCCTTCTGAAGCGATGGTCTCTCAGATCTACAATTCGCGTGGATTCACCTGATAATCAGCACACTGAACGAATCAAAAAAGTATGGCCACGTTACACTTATACTTCAGCCGTATTCTAGCAGCATTCCTTGCATGCAACTTTCTCCATTTAAGGTAATCATCAAAATTAGTATTTAGGATGAGTGATAATTGGCAGTGCTGATTGTGCAATATCTGATAACCAGTTTATTACTACTATCTTCCTTACCTTCAGAAATCCAATATGTCTGAATGTTTCTCCGCAATGGGTTGCATCGATATTACTTTCTTTCAGTACCATGGGGTTTTCTTGAAGAGCGTGAGAGCAAATGCAGGCTTCTGTTCATGTCGTTTGGTAATGTATGATTTCTTTGTATATTCTTCACAATTCGTTGGACCTTTTTTTGACAATTTTCGGTTACTTATTGGCCCTTGCACAGTATGCGATATATCCGGTACTTTGCACATTTTAGAGTCTATCATCACTATAAAACTGTACTTTAAATTTTGGCGTGTGTCAACTGTCTTTGGTTTACGGAAATTACAACACGAGTCATTTCACTGGCTGAAATGGCAAACTGAACCATTTCTGGCTGCTCGACATCTAGCGGAAATTTGAGCAAGTTATGCTTCCATGACACTTAAGCGCCGGCAGTGGTCATTTCATATATTGTTTATTTTCTCTCTTTTCCAGAAATAAAACAGACATCTTCTCACAGCATTCAAACAGTGATAAACTATACTAGAACGTTTAACTAAATTACTCTTTCTCTTGGTGATCGTGTTCCTTTCTTTGCGTATTTAAGTTGGCATCTGAAAAGTGGAGACTCCACAGTTTTAACTCATGTTCGACCTCACATGTTCCTTCGAGTAAAGCAAGCTGCCGACAAAGGTTGT